TAGCTGTGTACTGAATTGATTCATATGCTGAAGGCGCCTGGGGCAGGAAGAATATACAGTAATACGTTTGTAAGCCAATCTCCCATTTAGCCCATGGGTAGCAGCTGCTATATTCAATTATGCACCTTCTTAATAACCAAAGTTATTTTTCTGCACTTGTTTACATTTGTTAGGTGTTTGGTCTTCCTCTTTCTTTCTTGAACTTCCTGTCTTCTTCTTTTCCACCAGATGAGATATTTTATTGTTTTCATTTTTATAATTTCGTATGTGTTTAGTGCAATTTTTAAAAAAGCTAGAGGAAAATATATTTGATATCCTGCATGAAAACACAGCATTTCTTCAAGCATTAGGACAAAAGACAGGAGGAAACAGTGTGAGTCTCTGAACAAATTAGTATTCTGATATGTGTGCGGTGACCTGATTGCTGCTTTAAAAGCTACATTTATTTATTTATTTGTTTATTTTTCTGTAGACAATATCAGTCCTAAGTGCAGAGTAAAATGAAACATATTTCCTGGTGACAACACTGCCTTTTTTTAATGTACATCTTAAAAGCAGAGTGCGTAATATCACTGTAATTTTACAGTGCCTTTTCGACTGAGCATCTCAGCAAATTGAATTCCTTTTGTGTGCAGGTGCACTTGGCCAAAAAGCCGATGGCGAGTCTGATACCAAACAGGACTTAAAAACAGCAATCCAACATGAACAAATGCACAGCTCGGGCGCTCAGTTTAGGGATTCATTTTGTAGAGGGATAATCCTGAGATGACTTGGGTGTGTTTGTTAGATTTGTTCATCATTCTTGAAGCTTAGGGGTAAAAACTTTTTCTCTGTATATCACTTCTGAGGCTAATGCTGCTGCTTTACTATAAGAAGTTTGGGAAGGACAGTCACTTAATTGTTGAATTGATTTTCTCTTCCTTAACATTTTTTTTTTCTCAAACGTTTTATTTTAAGACTCTGCTCTTGACTCCTGGGTCAGATTGCTTATTGAACATCAATACTTCTGTGTTATTGCTTTGAGTATTGAAAACGGTCAAAGACCAAAAGTTGGCATTGAATGCTTGCTGAGATTCATACTCTTCTTCAGTTACTCTCTAAACATACCTTTACCCATTCTTTGCCAGATTTTCTTCAAGCAAAGTTCTAGTATTTAAACATTTGAAATTTAAGAAGTTTGATTTCCTTCTCTAAAGCAATGACTAGGACCATACAGCCATGCTAGCAGCTCTGTGAAGCTATACTTTGGCATGATGGTGCTTTGAGCTGAACGCTAACATCAGCATGCTAACATGCCTACAACTAACATTCTGATGCTAAGTAGATATGAAGTTTACCAGGTTTGCCATCTTGGTTTAGCGTGTTAGCATGCTAACATTTGCTAATTAGCACTAACCACTGAGTACAGCTGAGGCCAATGGGAACGTCACTAGTTAAACCATATTAGCATTGTGTTGATGGACGATTGATAACGGTGATCGATGATCATCAGAGCAATCGCCTTTATTATGCCTTTTCCATTGTCAAGACGATATTTGGCTTGTTTTCCCATCAATGTATTAACTTATTATTATTGCTGTTATTATTATTGTTTGTAGTATTACATTTAATTTGCCATGTCATAGTTTCACTTCGGCATCGCCTGCATATAACCCATGCTTGCAACATCGATGCATGCGCACACACACTCACACACACACACACACACACACACACACACACACACACAAACACACTCCCCGACCTGCTGACTGTCATTGAAGCGCTGTTTGTTTTGTGTAGGTGCCTTACTGTGATTAAACAGAGCAGAAGAGATCGATGGACAGACAGCACGTCACTTTGTTCAATTTGTTTCAGCTATTGGCAATTTCACAGGATGGCGATAGGCCGATCTGGATAAGATCGCACAATCCCAAACTATACACCGCATCCCTAGAGCCACACTGCTACCAAGGCACAGCAGGGTTTTGTAAAATATCTTGGTCATATTCCTCAAAGTAAGGTATCAAAAAAATGTATCCGATCAACAGTTTTAAACAATACACAGCCATAAGGTCGAAGCACCATATGGGGGAGACTTTCAGTCATAACAGAACATCAGGCAGTCACCTCCATCATTGCTAACGTCAGTCACTGCTCCCTTGGTTGGTAGGTCTACATGCATATCTCATCACTGCTGCTTGTGAACTGTTGAGGTCACCCCAATAACACATTTAGATATTTTAGAGTTTGCTTATCACATTTATATTATGTGGAAAGATTCAAAAACTCTTTAAAGTTGTGACGGCAGTCATCATTTGATCCGTCTTGGCAGTCGTGAGGTGAACTGTAGAAATGGAAAGGAATGTGAGCTTGCATGTATTTGACTGGGGGAACACTGTGTGCTGGATGACATTGCATCGCGTTGTGAGACGGCGTGAGCCAAGTGCAACTTTTGTTTTGCCAGATGAGAATGTGTTTAGTTAGCTGGAGTCCTCTGCAATGGCACCCCCACTGTGCTGGCGCAAAAGATAGATGGAAATAAATCAGGGGACTGTGTTTGTTTCACGCAGTGCTGATGTCAGTTGAAATGTCAGTTTAAACGCGGTCTGAAGTAGGAAGACACAATAACAGGCTCATTGATACACATTAGTTGAGACAAAAAAAAAAGCCTAAATGACTGACACAAACAGATTCTTCCAGGTATCCCAAAAGAGAGACAGACTAAACATCAGCATGCAAGCCCCAGCCCCATCCTTTGTGTGTGTGTGTGTGTGTGTGTGTGTGTGTGTGTGTGTGTGTGTGTGTGTGTGTGTGTGTGTGTGTCTCTTGATGTGTGTGTGGTGTGGTGTGTTGTGTGTAAAGTCACGCCTGGCTGGCTGTTATCTACCATAGACTCGCAGGTCCCTGGAGGGACACCAGAGGAGTCATCTGATTCACTTGCAGTTTCTTCTCAGACTGCAAATTAAAACAGGACCAACACAGAGAAAAACACAGATAGGAAGGGTACTTGTGTTTTTTTAATTAAATCTATTCTGTTTCTGCTTAATCCCTGCCAAACAGATAGTTGTCTAACATATAAAATTAACACATGAACAGCTCCAGTTCCTCTTTTCACCTGCATTAACATGCGGCAGCTGCAGCTTTTTCAGCTCACAGTGCAGGTATCTCTCACATCAGAAGCCCTCCTGCTCTTTGTCTTTCCTCAGTTAAGGTCTGTTTATGAAACACAGACGATCGGCTCTGATTTGATTTGGCGTTCAGCAGCCCTGATAATTATGATGAATCTTCCTCCCTCTGTATGCGTGTGCATGTGTGCGTGTCTTCACCCCCAGTTTCTCTTTAGTGGTGCTACTTTTTCACTGCCACAGTGTTGTTAGTCAGACCTGCTTTGCGGTAATAATGCTTGAAAAATATTGATTGGCTTTAATTTGCTGGCTGCACCAGATGTGTAAGATTAAGTACATTAGCTTAGTTCAAACAGTGATACAAAGACAGGCTTCGTAGTTATTATTTCAACTTTCTACACGTTGGTTTCCCAGTGTGACAATTGGCCCGTCTGGTATCAAAATAAGCTTTATGAATTACATGTGCTCAAACAGTAGCAAGTTACAAGACGTTTGCCTAATGTTTATACTTTGGCTCAAAGCAACAAGTTTCTAATCTGAGGAAACATCCTCTGCTGTGACAGTACTAACATGCTGCTCCTCGTGTAGTTCGCTGGCAAAGAAACCAGAGGAGTCTTGTTTATACAGGCTAATTGCCATTCTGTTTTACAAGGCACAACTGCTAAGCTTTTACTTTTTAACATATTCCAAACTAGCTGAGAGCTGAGAGTCCATCAACAGCCGTGAACCAGTGAGGATCGAGGCAGAAAAGCAGTTCGCTTGCATGAGGACAGTGTGATGCAGTGTCATTTTGAAATGAGTCATTTTGAAATGATGCAAATAAATGTAATCCACGAAGCTGATTGTGTCATTGTTTTTAGGATAAGCCAAAGTTGGATGTAACTTTTGAACGGGCACATTCATATTTCCCAGAAGTTGCATCTTTAGCTAACTGCTCAATGCAAAGGTTTCTCATTAATTCAAAAAGTCAAGTAGGAAGTAGGAAGTTTTTAGTTTTTATACCCGTTTCAGTTCAAGTTCTGAAATTGAAAATATTTTTAATATTCAGAGATTCTCAAGTTTTAAATAAGAAAGAAGGAGCGGGTGTAAAGAATTTCTAACTAGTTTTTGGAACGTTTTTGTGTCAGACCAATTATCATTGAAGACATTGTATTTTCTTATCTTTAAACATGTCTGGAAATGACCTTTGGCATTTAATACTTTATACTAGCAATTTTTTGGCAAGTTTTGTGTCTGTATTAGATTGAGACAGTAGAGACAGACATTAAAAAAGCAGGGAGAGAGTAAGGGAAAGACATGGTCCGGCCGGCCTGGAGTCAAACTGGGGACTGTTGCTCAGGGCATTTGAGCTCGTGTGATATGTGCCCTAATCATTCAGCCATCGGGTTCCATACACTGCTACTTCTAACATATTAGTTACTATTTCCCACTGACATTGTCACATACCAGTTCTTTATCTGCTCGTTCCTCAAGATGTTGTATGGCAAATTGCTAAAATAACATTTTTGCAAGTTTAAACAGCTTGAATGGCATCATAACTTTCACGTAATCCATGTGGGGATCCTTCTATAGTTTTGTAAAATAGAATACAGACAAATGTACAGCTGATTACTGACGTACCAGCTGATTTGACTCCTTGAAAGTTTTGATACTGTGTCAGCTGCGTCATGGTTTTATGAATCCAGGATTACTTGTGAAATTGAATACATTTTGCTCGAGCTGAAAACAATAGGAACTGATGTTTCTGAGGGAATTTAATCAGATCAAAATCTGTGATTAATTGCAGCTGTATCTCCTCACTGTTCCCCCTCCTCCTTGATCTTTCTTTCCTAACCCTGCTTTGTTTCTCTACACCCTCTTCTCTTTCTGTTCTCCTTTCCCCAACCTGTGCAGTCGCCAGATGAGATGGAGGTGATGGTAAGCTTTGTAACAGTTTTCAAATTCCTGCTCTTCTGTCTATTTCTTCTGTTCTGCTGCTTTTTCTGAACTTCTCAGTGTTTTATTTCACCATTGTCCAAAAAAAGCTGAAACCATCAATGTGCTGATTAAAATTATTCTTAATACTTTCTATTTAACCAAAATCCTTGACTGATGAAAAAAGTAAAATAACTGTAAATTGCAGCTTCTGGAGAAAAATAGCCTGTTTGATTTGATTGAATAGAAAGTAAATTGAACCCATTTATTCTCTAGAACCCATCCGTTTATCTCTGTCTTCAGTTTTTCATCTCTCCTGGTTTCATCTCCCTCCATCAGTCCTTCTTCTTCTTCTTTTTTCCATCTCTCCATCCCTTCCATATATCTTTGCCTTTGCTCTGGCCACGACTATCCTTCCCTGCCATCAGCAGCAGCAGCTGCAGCAGCTGCTACATCCTCGACACTGTCATCAGATTGCATGCATTTCAAAAATTACATTTTGGCCCGACAAACCAAAGGTTTGGTTTTAGAGGGATTTATAACACTTGTTGGAAAGCTTTAATTGCACTTAACGTAACGAGTTGTCAACCTGTCTCTCCTCCACCTGGCTCTGCTCCGTGTGTGTGTGTGTGTGTGTGTGTGTGTGTGTGTGTGTGTGTGTGTGTGTCTGTGTCTTACCACACACACACACACACACACACACACACACGGTGAAACAGAAACCAGAGGAGAGGAGAGAAACATGACAGTAAATGACAGTAAAACACAATAGAGACTCTCACACTGAGCTGAAATGAGTGCACATAAATATGGTAAATAAAATATTTGGGGTTTTTTAAATTTTTTATTTGGGAGGGTCCCGTCGGGGGGCCGGCTGCACCTCCAAGGCAATGGGAGGGGAAACACCAGGAGGTGAGCTGAGGTGTAGATACAGATGTTTTTTTTATGAAGCTGTGTTGAACTTGAAATAAAAAAATCTTTTTTTTTTTTCTAGTCCAACATTCTCTAACAGCAGCAATCTCCAGTCAGTGATTGCATCTGATACAGATCAAACATTAAATGAAGTTATTGAATTAAAAGCTAACTAAGAGGAAACTGACCAATTACAGCTAACAAGAAAGTCTCATTTCTCTATGATCCCACTCTCTCTCTCTGTTTATGTCTCTTTGTCTCTTTCTGCGTGTTCTGTTTTCTCCTTTTTCAATTCTCTGTCTCCTGTGTCGCTCCCTCATGTGATTTTATTTCCTCCTGTCTTTCAGTCAGTGTGAAGGCTTGTTTGCATGTGCATTTACTGTGTGAGCCAGTTTGGGCACAGGCTTGTTTTTGTGCACATATGAGTATGTTTGTCATCTTCACTCCTTCATAACTGCTTGAAAATAACATATGATCTGCAGCGAGTTCGGGGGTCTGGCGTGATTTTCTGTGTTGGCACAAACACAGGCACACGGGGATAGATTGCCATGGATGGATAAAAGGGTTGGTGAATAGAAAGGCAGGTGAAAAGCAAAGATTTTCAAAGAGGGTTGGGTCTTGCTGTTCGAGGAATTTTGGATTTTATTTTATTTTTTTATAGCACAGGCCTTTGTACCAAACACTACACGGTCGAGAGAGCAAGAGAGAGAGAGAGAGAGAGAGAGTGTGAGAATGGGTGTGTTGGCCCAAAGACACTTGGGTGTCTTTGGATCTAATGATAGTATGTGCATGAATGTGAATGCATCTTCAGGCCCTTTTTTTCTTTGATTGTGATACATGAATATATTTTTTGACTCGTTCTGTCCTGCATGCATTTCCTAGTGTTGTGTATAAATTTGTTCCCTACTGTGTGTGATGCTAATGTCAAGTGAATATAGATGGGAAAAAAAGTCATCATAAAACATTTATTTATCAAACTCATTATATTTGATATTAATTAAATATGACTCTGAGGCAGAGAAATTCCTTCATTCTTCTATTTTGGGGGCCCTTGCTTCTGGTTCTGGTTCTGGCTCTGGCTCTGGTTTTGGAAGTAAAGGTGCCCTTCATTTTTCCCATTTAACAATTTTTAATGAGTCACAGTTTGAGTAATTCCACTATTTGGATGGACGTGAGATTCTCTAGAGCAAAAGATGAATAACTTTGTACGGTAATCAATCAATCAACAATCAAAGATACAGTCATGTGTACTTAAAAACTTCAGATTCTGAGGCCGAGGCTCATGGGTATTGTAGTGTTTTGAGCTGTCTTCCATGCCAAGCTGATGGGCAAAACATGCTTCCTCAGAGATTAAGGTGAAAATAACAAAAACGTGTCACAACGATTCCATAACTACTCATCATCATCATCATCATCATCATGAATTGTTACATCCTGGGAGAGTCCTGTGTTTTAAGTAACACTAAGGACATTGTTTAAGGAGAAATTTTAAATGGGAAAATACAGAGCAAGGAAAAATACTTGAATATTGAAGTGCTATAACAGAAATTATCACTGGAAATTAAATTTATCTGAATACTTGTAATTGAAAAACAGAACAAAAAAACAAACAAAAACCAGGACTACTACTGTACTGCACCAGTCACCTACGCTGTGTTGAGAAAACACAGAATTACACACTGTAGAAATTCTTTCTATCTCACCCTGTGTGTGTGTGTGTTTGTGTGTGTGTGTTTGTGTGTGTGTGTGTGTGTGTTTGTGTGTGTGTTCTCTTGTAGGCTCAGCAGCTACAGAAGAAAGATTCACAGCTGAAAGCGCTGGATGCCTTCTACAAGGAGCAGCTGGCACAACTGGAGAAGAGGGTACAGCATTTACACAAACACACATACACTGACACACACACACACACACACACACACACACACACACACATACACACATACACACACACTTGGAAAGACTTCATTAGAGGCTTTCACAGACTCACAAAGTTATAGTACTGAAGCAAATGTAAACACACACAGATTTGGACGGACGTAACTTTGCATCACACCAAAAAACATCCCTAAACAAACACACACATTAATGTACAATCACAAAAATGCAGGCAAAGAGAAAAATTTCCCTGCGCACACACACACACGCATCAATTCTCCATATGTTTTCTGCAAATTCACTTGGCTACAGCAGTATGACATAAAGCGGATGAATATAGATGTTGAACAAACAGACTGAAAAACACAAAAGTACCATTAGGCCAGGAACACACTGGACTCGTGGCGGCTGCGGAACATCTTGGTTTCTGGCGCCCATGTTAACGGATTAGAGCGGACACACTGCCTCACTGACTCACTATAGTTTAAATGTCTAGGCTGAAGCTGAATGTGTCACAGACATGAAATAAATGTTTTAGCCATTTTATCAGCTGCTTGTGGAGACAGTGGCTTGAAACCTTTTCAGATGGGACACTTATTGGTATTAAGACTTTTTGTACTAAAGGAATACCACCTTTATACTTTGTTTATGTACGGTGCATAACTATAAAGAATGCCAGCATGCTAAATAAGTCAATTACATTTACAGTATATTTCAGCATGCAAACATGTGTAAAGTAAATTGCAAGTACAGTATACACACATAAAAAAAGGAACGCACTGCACAAGGTGTGTCTGGAAATGTGATTCAAAGGGGAACAAGGATTGGCCACATAAGAAGGAGGGGGGCACTCCTCTAGTTCTCAGCTGGAGAACAGGACATTATGTGTAAAAATCTAACTATTATGTTCTGTTTACCATGTCTAATTCAAGCCTGTTGTGCTTGAGTGGGAGCGGAGGGAGCAGATGGAGTCACAGGGGGCAACCGGGGCATTGGAGTGCCATCACTACAGAGTTACAGTTGCCCCCAGTGGTCCGTCAGCATGTAGCTGAGGGCAGACTTTATACTCAGTCACTTTCATTGAGCCCTTTATGTCCTCACTTTGCTGTTACATTTAGTCAGTCATTTGTTTGTTTCTGATTTCTGTTGTGAAATTAAAAGACAGAAAATCTCCAACGAAGTTTGGAATAAGTCTTTGATGTTTGGCCCACTAGTTTAAAAAACTTGTTTCTGTGTGCTTATGCGCATAGAGGTTATGTTTAGTGTCTGCCATAAGCTACAATAAGCGGATAGAGTCACTGACTCGAGCAATAGGCTTTTTTCTGTTTGGTTAAATCTGAAGTTTGAGCTTTTTGAAACTAGGCATGTCCAATCCTGTCCTGCTGCCTCTGCCGAAGACAAGAAAGACAAAAAAACACAGTCTTTCTTTCTTTCTTTCTTTCTTTTTCTTTCCTTTCTTTCTTTCTTTCTTTCTTTCTTTCTTTCTTTCTTTCTTTCTTTCTTTCTTTCTTTCTTTTTCTTTCTTTCTTTCTTTCTTTCTTTCTTTCACAATTCTGTGGATGTCTAGTTGACATAACAGATGGACAAACACACACAGACTTACATCACAATAGCACAAAATCTGTATTCTAATTACCACACAGTCAGCCTAAATAAACATTTATTACGTCGGTAAATGGTATCTACACACACTTTAAACACACGCGCACACACGCGCACAAACGCGCACGCACGCACACACTGACAGGTCTTGGTGTCAGCTGCCTGGCTGTTTGTGTTCGTCTCATTAGTAACAGGTTGGGTTTGCAGAGGGAGTAGAAGACTGGCAGGCTGGCATACGGGTGGCACAAGCTGTATTTGCTGTTGAGCTTAGGATGTTTGTAGACAGACCTCTATGTGGGTGTGTGTGGTGTGTGCATGTCTGTGTGACAGAGAGACGGACAGAGAGAGTGAGTTTTGCATGCATACTGTATATTCAGGTGCACGTGTACTGTATATGTAAATGTGAGTCTACGTGTCTATCTGCAGGGCTCAGTGTGTTTGCAGACTGTACCAGAAGCCACATAATGCCATGGTTTTAGTCTGTTTGACTGCTCAAGATATTCTCAATGCTTGAGGTTTAGTTTTTCTCAAACTGCTCAGCTGAACTGAACAAAAAACTGAGCTGGGCTTATGTTAATGTTATCTCACCCTTTGCATTAACATACGTCCTGGGTGGGGATGTAGCAATGCATCCTGAAAATAGACGTTCGACAATATGCACCGGGAAATTACGGTTTGTAATTTCAGTTGCCTAATACCTTAAAACTAACAAATGACACACTCAGAATTGAGATAACTCTAAAGCAGCTATTTGTAAATTTACCTATTGCTACATAGCTAGCATTAGCATTAACAGCTGTTGACTTACCGGTCTTGACAAAAGGTTCAGCCATTGTTGCTGAGCAGCGCTACTTCTTCAGGGCAGACTGGATGCTACAATAACTCGGTATCGGAAAGTGACGAGATGGGCTGGAGCTAGCTAGTTAGCATGCTAACTTCAGTGCAAGAAAAGAAGTGATAGAAGTAGAATCAAAACAAGACACTCCTGTTTTCCACTCCTGGAGACACCTGTGGCTATGTAGCAACTCTTGTTACTTTCAGCGCGTATCAATTTGCATTCTTCTGTACTTACACTTGCCTCTTTGAGTGCATAAGCGCATTCACACTGACAATTAAGGCAACATGCAGTGCACTCTGTCCCCATCTCGGCTACATGGCAGAGCTTGTAATAATGGAGGCTGAGGAAGCTTCAGCTGTTGCCATGGTTCCAACGGTGAACACTGCACCATACAAACCATACAGAGTTACACAATTCTACACAAAATTTGTTTTCCACTCAGTACCAGTACACTGTTGTCAGATATGTTTGGTTAATTTAGCAGGCTGTTATGATTTGATACCGTGCACGATAACGCAAACGCTAGCTAGCTAACACCAGTGACCGTCATGCATAACAGTCGTGTTGAATGTGAGACGCGACCAAAACGAAATTCATGCACTACACAACTAAGTACAGAGCGTAAACAGTATCTGAAATGAGGCAGAGTGTTGGCCTTTTATTGTTCCTCTCTCTTTCTAATGGCTGCCTTACTCTCGCACCCTCTCACACACGCTCCTGTCATAGTAGAGTAGAGTTTGAAGCTGGTGGAATTAGAGCGTACAGAAGGAGATAATAATCCTCCTCCAAGTCTGACAGGTTGCTTGACACACTGTCAGCAGTGGCCTCCATGTAGTGCAGCAGAAATATCTACACACACACACACACACATACACACACTACTCTAAATAATGTCAATGGCAGTACCTATATTCCCGGCCAAACAGAGAGGCAGAGGGCTTATTTAAGATGGCTTACACACACACACACACACACACACACACACACACACACACACACACATATACATATAGATTAACATATACATACATATTGACAACATATTGTATGTGTATGTGTGTTCCCGACACGATGTAGCCAGGTTCGCCCTCTGATCAGAACTTTTTTTTTTTTTTTTGAAAACTGTATTAAAAACTCCACTTTTCTGCTGTGTTGCACTTTCTTATGGAAATGCATACACTCTGGGCCCTGTATAGACTAAGTCAAAGTTTAACGCTTTCATCCTGTGAAAAGCTATCTGCTCAATATGCTGCAGCGAGGGCTTCGAATCAGCTTATTAGTTTAGCTTGTTAGCAATATTTCCACTGTGGCTGCACCCATCTGGAGATGAAGATATGAGTTTTATAATAAGTTAATGTTTCTAAACATTGCAGAGTTGTGGCTAACATTCCAGTCACCTCATTATTTTTGCCCGAGAAAAAAAAAAAAGTGCTTGTGTACATTCCTCGACAGTGGTAAACACTCCATGAGATCCAACCAGCTACATTTAATTTATGTATACAGTATGGAGATGAAGGCAGTGTGGGACAGAAAAATATGAAAATGAATATTTACACAGAACTTGTGAAGATGTAGTGATAGCTTTTGTAGAAATGCATTTATTTTGCCCATAGCACACGTGACTCTCAGTCTATAGAATGTGTGTTTTTATACTGTAGTTTTACATATCCTCCAACCCAGTGGTTCCCAACCTTTTCCAAATCACGGCCCACTTAAAAAATCTCAAAAATTTTGGCGGCCCACATCCGACACCGTAATAATACAGAGGCCAAATAATGTGTTCTCAGAGCACTTTTTTGAGCTATTTGTGTGTTCTGCCCAACCGCTTACTGTAGCTACATCCTCCAGCAGCTATGAGAACATTAATTGTCCCTCTGCCACACCGTTTGTTTGGAGAAACATTCAGTTACAGTGCATGTACGTATAGAAGAATGTGTGGTCATGACGGCAACCAACTGGCAAATAAGATTTTGTTTTGGTAACTTGAAAAATGAATAATTTACTTTAAGAAGAATTTGCTTTTTAAAAAAAAAAAAAATATTTGTAGCTTTTGTTGCTGAAGGTGATTTTCTTACATGTCTCTCTTGATGGGGGAGAGATCACTTTGATTCTCTTGATACTTTCCTTTTAACTAATTTAATTCAATTTCAGTTCAGTTTAATACAATCTACTGTCTCAGGTGCTGTGTGGCCGATTTTGCCTCTCAAACACCTAAACAAGATAAAAATCTATTAGGATTTGATGCATCAGAGTGAATGAGTGGATACCAACATGCACATGCTTGCTGTCTGTGTGAGCCAATACAAACAGAGCTGTCAGTCAGTCAGGGTCTCCGCCAGTGACTTCTGTGACTCGTCAATGGCTTCAGTACTGAAGACAACAAAAGAAGAGTTCTTAAGTAGATGACCGTACATTTAAGCATATAGGACAAATAATGAAACACAATGACGTGTCTCTTGAAGCTCACACACATAAGACACACACACACACACACACACACACACACACACACACACACACAGGCCCACACAGAGCCCAGGGTTCAATTGTGTGACACCACACAAAATTCTTCAGTGTTGTTCAGTGAATTCTGTTGCCACTCTCGGGTCACACCGAAAGGTTAGATGGAGTGGGAGTGTGTGTGGTTTAAAAGACTGCTCTTTCTACTGTTGGATCAAAGAGCAGCGTGTGTGTGTGTGTGTGTGTGTGTGTGTGTGTGTGTGTGTGTGTGTGTGTGTGTGTCAGAGTTTTTTTGCCACCCACCTGTAGACCAATGTTTGTGTTGTCTACAAAAATTCACGCTGTGTGTTTATGTCATGCCACAAAATTTCAGTCAGGACAGAATCTTATCAATGCTCTACTCCATCTGTATCCTGTGTCAGAGATCTGCTTTTCCACGTCAGTATTACCTTTTTTTTTTTTTTACCAATTTGCCAGTACTGAAAATAAACAGTAAAAATAAATCTACCAAATTACTTTTAAAGTTCCAATTGATTTCTTAGCCCTAAATTTAAGAAACGTTAGTTGTAGGATTGGTGTCAACATCTGGTGGCAGCTTGGGCGACTGACTACAATCACACTCAGTAGGGAAGCAGAAATCTGTTTGGCTGTTGAAGGCTGAGGACTGTAAAATACAGCTGTTGTCAACTTTTCACAGCTAAGTGAAAGTCTGGTAATTATCCATTCTCTCAAAATATTAACCACACACCACTATCATCGTTGCCTGAGTGTTCAGATGCAAAGCGTGAGGAAATACAGAGCGAGTCCTCAGTGCAAGCCTGATGTTGGGAGCACCTACTCCAGCTGAAGAAGAGAGGAAAGAGCAAAAAAAAAAAAAAAAACTGAACAAGGTTGACGAAAAGGGCTGAGAGAAAGAGAAAGAAGCCTCTGTACCGTGGAGAACATAATGAGCAGGTTGGAAAAGAGGTTGCAGGTGAGCTAAGAGTTGCAGTCAAAGCCCTGACCACTGAAGGATTCAGGTTTAGCAGCACCGACCACTGTCAATCAGTTGATACATGTGTCGAATGCTGTCAATTTTGTCCTTGAGGAGGAAGCTTCAACCCTTATCTGCTCACTCAGCGTAAGCTGTCCTTGATGAGATCTATGCAGCATGAAAAGGAAAATAAGTTGGAAGATTTGGAAAAATAGTTGGACCAGAGAAACAGGAAGTAATAGTGGCGATGGAGGAAGATGAATAAGAGATAATAGCTGACGAGTTCCATGAGCCATTATTTCTAAAATTCTTTTTTCCCCCTTCCTGCCTCTGTTTTTATTATAGCTGCTGAAATCAACAGTTGCTGACTGAAACTTTCACCTGCTACAGTTTGTTAGGACACTAAATTATTGAAACTACAATGATTTGAAATTATTTCACTTCTTTCAAATCACAATTTTGATATAAAAACTCATAAATAGTCCCTTGTATAATAAATAAACAGGCTATTGTATAAATGGAGATATGGGTTAGGAGATTGTGATACTGAAGAAGGTGATAAAAGAAAAAGAGACCCATTCAAGTGAATAGGAAAATGACAACGGATAAGTTTGTGTCTGTAAAGATGAGAAATTGTTTTGTTTTTTTTTTTAAATCAGAGGGAAAGAAGGAGTGGGGGAAATATGTTGAGCAGAAGGAAGAAGGGTTTGGTCTCAGTGCCAGCGTGAAAAGTAATACACACAGACAGCTGGATCAGAAATCCTGCAAACAGCCCTTAATTCACTAGTGTCACCATGGCAACCACACTTATTAATTTGTCCCTATGAGTAAGGTAAAAGGATGATTCATCCTGTAATGAAGTTTACTTTGATTTCATTTTTCCATACAAGAATGTATGAATACTGGAACTGACCCTGGAGTGTGTTGGCAATCCTGAGAAGTGAAAATTATATGAACCTGCTCATAACCAGAAAACAAAACAGAACAAATGACACACTGACGCTCGTAATGGAGTTGTGTAACAGTAGTAAAATGTGTCCAACCTCCATGAAATCACAGGATTTATAGTAACATTTTCTCTCCATGATTTATCTCTGTATGGGTTTTTTGGCGAGATGTTCATTAATACACCTGAGGCTAGATGTAGTACACTGTGTGAGAACAGCTATGCATACGCTATTGTACCTTAGTGTGTACTAGGTTTTGTAGCTGACATGACAAGGAGTAGAGATGGAATCTAAATGTTTGTTAGCCAGATCGTGTGATCTGAAAAATGCCCGTCAAAACTAAGGGTGGGAATCAAGAACCGGCTCCATCTTGTCCAGTTCCAGATTGTCCAAACCATTAGAATCGTATCCCTCCATGTCAAACTCCTCTGTCTACGCTATTGGAAATTTGCAACAAGAAGGAGTCATGGCGAAGAGTTAAGAACAGTCCAAAATGTGGCTTCATTTCACAAAGAAGGATAACAATGGTGCTAATGAGAAAGTGCGATTAAGGGCATGTCTCAGTTCATTTATGGGGGAGGGTCCGTTCAAAGCAGGAAGTGCAAAGCGTGTTGTTTTCACGGAAAATAGGGGTCTCAGAACCGCACATGTTTTCCCGTTTCCTGATGCCACTTGGGTAATTGTGTCAAAAACAACAAAATAAATTCTGGTAAACCCGCTAAATGTACTTTCATACGTACATTACACTATTAGGACTGATTGGTCTGACTTAACAAGTCTTATCAGTTTAAATTAATACACATTGGTAGCCATTGCATTTTTATTATCAACAGTCGCAAACCATGTTGTGGTTCTATGTTGGTTGTGGCATGAAAAACAACTGTGTGTGTTCTTTGTCACTAGTAGCGGCATGACCAGGACTATCACTGCGGCCACACACTTGCCAGTTGTAGTGACTCGTTCAGTCCTCATTGCTTTGGTCCTGAGAGCAACACCACCCTCCATCATAAGCCAAACATTCAGCTGTAACGACCACTATTGGAGCACAACAGCCTGCATCTGTTTCTTTAAGTCACAGGCAGGACGGCTTTTCTACCTTTTAGTTCGGGCAAATAATGTTACCCAGTTCCCAAATCTCTCTCCCTCCTCCTCATCTCTCCCTCCTCTCTATATTCTGTTCCCTCTTACCTTCATGCCTTCTGCCGCGTCTCCTTCTTTATTCTTCTCTTACCTCCCTTCCAGCTTTTTTCTCTTCCCTCCCCAGCTGGACAGTATGCTGGTTAAATATTTGGGGGGGGATACCGGGTGCTGGAAGGCCTAATCTAGGAGGATCAGTAGAGGAGAGGCTGCAGTTGTTGGGGATTAGCTGCTTGTTTTATCATTATACCACTGCCTGCTTGCTTTGGGTGGGTGCTCACCGGGCAAGCTGCAAAGTCAGAAATCATGATTTCTTAAAAAAATGTATGAGTAATGCAACTCATTATTGCTGAGCTTTAGTTTAGCTAAAAGAGACTGGAACTGCAAAAAAAAAAAACTTTCTCAGGATGAAAATACGACTCCATAACTTTTCCTACATACTGTAAATTTCATGTTAAGAGTGTGCTCATGAATTGGGGCAAAGTAAAAAAAAAAAAAAAAAAACTACAAGTGAAATACTGAGTTGTTACTGTGAACTCACAAAGAAGTTCATAAAGTCTGGAAGAGAAAAATGGCAGAAAAGGAAGCTGCAACAAACGAGAGAAAGACAAAGATGAAGAAATGCAGTAGAGGAAAGATATTCATTTTTCATATGTGGGGACAGAGACAGAAGGGTGGGACAGGAAAAACACTGAGATGAATTTAGTGGTTAGTATATCATAGGTAGATTCAAAGTGCAGAATAAAGTTATCATTAAAAATATGCTAATTCAAAATATGAATTAAATGTCTTAAAGTTTTTTTTAAAGGAATAGTTAAAGACATTTGGGAAATGTGCCTGTTGATTTTCTTGCCCAGAGTTAGATCAGAAGATCGATTCCACTCCTCTCTGCCATAAACTATGAAGCTGCTGCCAGCATCTGATTAGCATAGCTTAGCATAAAGACCAGAAACAGGGGGAAACAGTAGCCCTGGAGCTCACTAATTAACATGTTATATCTCTTTTGTTTAATTCATATTTAAGTTATGGTTTTACTGGTGCTGGCTGCAGATTTTTTTTTTTTTTCCAGTTTTCCCTAATTGTCAGACTGTCCCTTCAGCGTGTTCTTTTAATGAAATATTAAAACATTATTTACACAAAGTTCCCCCAAAATCTAGCAGTTTGTCTCATTATTATTCCCAATGATGTCTCAATGCTCCAAAATATTAATATATTGCTTTACACAATTTCAAAAGTGAAAACATCTCTTCATATATACAGAATGTTTGGCGAACACGTCCTTCAATGCTTCACTGACTGATCAGAGTTTCTCGACGAACTGTTTTATTTCTTCTACTCATGGCCAACCGGGACAAGACATAACATGTGCAGTTGTGAGACAGCGACACATGTGTAACAGTTGCTGCCTCGCAGGTGTTGTTGTATTTATGCGAACAAAACTTGACAAGAAGCTGCTGCTGGAAATCTGATTGTGATTATGCTGAACATACAAAACAACAAATCCTCCAAAAGTTGTGTCCATTTAGAATCACACTTGCTAACTATACAAAGGAAGAGAAGACACAGCAATGCACATGTTAAAAAATCAACTAATGCTTTTTCCTCCTGTGTTGTCCTGCATGTCTAGAATTTGGAAAGATACGAACACAGCAAGGAACAGTTCCACCAAGCTGCCTCCAAGACTGAAGCAAACGTGAGGTGAGACACGCGTTCACACACATACACATTCACAAACTAATTTGCAGTTCCAAAAGTAAAGAGATATTATTCCCTTGGAGCCTCTGGCACGCACCCACCGACTCACAAATGACACGGGCATACACACAACAGAATAATAAGCAGCGATAGATAGCTATCTGCTCTTTTTCCTCATTTTTTAAACCAGATAAACGCACACATTCTCTAGAGCAAACCTGACTAATGTGATAAGTGTTTTAATTGGCTGCTTTAATTAAGCCGAGTTTAACAATACCCTATTTCCTCCCATCTTTGCTTCTCACCGTGGACTCGTAATGAGCCACAGCCAGGGAAAAGGTGGCTAATTTGCCACCGCAGTCTGTAAAACACACAGCTGTAATTCACATTTGAGACCAGGCCTTGACTTGGCTGTTAAATTCTCTGCCACAGCAGTAGCAGGGCTTTGACAAGACGAGAGTCGGTACAGCTATAGCTGAAAGACACAAGTACTTAAGGGTGAGAACAACATATACTTGTTAATGTACGTATGTGCTGCAGTGTGTCCTTGTCCCTGGAGGCAGGTTTTAGCTGGAGGCCAGCTTTTTGTCAGTGAAGTTTATCTGTAATGTTCTTATGTCCCCAGGATTTTCAACTCACTTCACTGTCAAATTAAGAAGAGAGCAAGAAACAATTGGTCAGAAGGTTATACAGGTTTTTGATAAACCTCCCAACGTATTTGGACCAATTTCTCTATGCAATGAGTGACAGATATTTTGGATTGCATTTCACAGTAGCAGCAGGCTAAGCGTGATAGCCTGGAGGTTTTTCTTCCTAGCCACGTCCACCCTCTCCTCCTGAGGGATCCCAACATGTTCCCAAGCCAGTTAGGATCCTCCAGTGAGTTCTGTGATGGACATGCTCAGAAATCCTTTAAAGCTTCTCTTATCAGTATTTTAACAATAACAATGGATCAAATGACTACACTCACCGAGCATGTAATTAGGGACATCTATACACCTGCTGATTCATGCAATTATCCAATAAGCCAATCATGTGGGAGCAGTGCAGGGCATAAAATCAGGCAGATACAGGTGAGAGCTTCAGTAAATGTTCACATCAAACATCACCACAGAGGAAAAAATGTGATCTCATTAACTCAGATTTGACCGTGGCAGGATTGTCGGTGCTGTTTCTGAAACTCTCGATCTCCTGGGATTTTCACACACAGCGGTCCCTGGAGTTTTTACTCAGAGTGGTGTGAAGAACAAAAAAACATCCAGTGTGCAGCAGCTCTGTGGACAGAAACTCCCTGTTGATGGGAGAGGTCAGAGAGAATAAATAAATACATGGCAAATAAATCAATGTATGGGAGAGTGCAGTGTTTTTATAACCAGCTGAAGTGATGGCCAAAAGCGCAAAAGTAAAACTGAATTATTCTGAAAACATGAAGGAGATTTTAAACTATAAATGAGTTTGTATTACAAATGAAGTATCTGGAGTTTAGATAAATTGAGCGGTTAATAAGACAATGAGAAACACTTGTTCTTTACTTAATCTTGAAGTCATGAATTAAACCACTAACTGCTCCATTTAAAGAGCCCAGATTCCAGAGATAGGGAGTTGCACTAAATATTTGAGTTTGAAACATTTGTGTGGTCAATTTCACCTGGATGACTCAAAAATGAACCGAGAACAAAAAAGGTGCTGCCTTTCAACAGAGCGGAGGATTACCTGCTGACTTCCCTTTCCCACCAAAGCCCCGCACTTCAGTCTTAAGCCTGACGATAACAAGTAGCTCTGGGCTTACCCCCGCACTCACACATACACAGACTGCTTGCTGCGTGTTAGCACTGCAGTTAATGCACCCCTTGCCACGATGATTCGAAGTGACTGTACGCCGCTATTGGCAGTTGAGGAATATGAGGAACCCCCCCACACACACACACACAACACCAACATGTTTTTGATCTGATCTGTGCAGATGCTGAAGACCAGGTGATCTTACCTCCGGGGAATACTGTACAGTAATACCTCTAATCCTCTGCTCGTTGGGATGTTGTGTGTGTGTACGTGTGTACGTGTGTGTGTGTGTGTGTGTGTGTGTGCGTGCGGAGGGGGAAGGAGGATATTCTAAATCTATGAGTGTTTTATCAAGGAAGATAAAACGATCCAGGCTTCCTGTATGGCACTACCTTTACGGTCAATTATATGCTGCTTTTACAGGCTTTAGAGAGTGGATTAGACCCTCATTCATTTTGTAATCCAGTCTAACCCTAACCTCCGGGGGATTCAGTAGTGTTACTTTAATGAGTGGATTAAGGTGTGAGGAAAAGAGTATGTCTGTGTATATGGTATGAAAAATATACACAACAAACAGGGTTGTATTTGATTTGGACCTGTACGCTACAATGCTGTCGTTCACCTCAGTAGAATGGAGCCTTTGTTAATGGTAGTAACACCTGTGCTTTTCCTATCAAGACAAGTCAGATAAATGTCTGCTGCTCAACAAAGAGATATGATTCATGTTGTGCCCTCCTGTTGTTGGTGAGCATGTACTGTAAGAATGTGATTGGTGGGGCGACCCGGAGGCCGAGCGTTTTGGGGCGTATACCGTGTGGGTGCAGGTGCTCTGGGCAGGCGGGTCCCCGGTTTGCCTCCAAACTGGCCATGTCATTCCCCTTCTCTCTCTCTCTCCCATTTCTTGTCGCTCTTCATTCTCCTGTTGATTAATAGAGGCATAAAATGACCAAAAAAATAACTTAAAAAAAAACCAAAAACGTATGTGATTGGTATCTTCCAAATGTGTGATCAGAAAGGCTGGAAAAGTATAAATTGAATAGAATAAATCTTTGTTTGCCTTGAAAAACATTTAAATATATGCAAATTGGGTGAGCTAACACTCTATCTGTTCCTTTGGTTAATATGAAAATTATAAAAATTCAGAATACATACGGTGCTGGTAACAGAGACGCAGAGCCTGGACATTTAAAGGACACTTTGAATCATTCAAATAAAAGTTCCATATTCTAACATTTTCCGATGCCAAAGCTACTCTGTAGGAAACTTCGGGCCGGCTCTGGCTTTATGCTGTAAACTGATTGAGTGAAGTTTCTCTCAGTGCAGAGCTGTAGAACAAAGCTACTATAAAATATGAGGTGGATGACTCCTAAACCCCGTTGGCTCCACTGTCCGTGTCGTTCTGCGTTTTGTATAAGAATGTGTGCGTGTGTGTGTGTGTGTGTGTGTGTGATGTGATGTGTTAATCCGCAGTTTAATCCTTGAAGCAAAAAAGGCGGCTTCGGCTTCCAGCACTCCGTGGTTATGAGGGACCCGGGGAGCGCAGGGCCAGTGTGTCATTGTCACTTGTGTGTATATAAGAAAGAGACAGAGGATGAAAAGAGAGAGAGAAAGAAACCTGTAGCACTCTAAAATGTCAAACTCAACGGATCATGAAAGAACGGTATGATTAACTTAACCGTCATTACCCCAGCCAAGGAGGTTCCGTTTTCACCCGTGTCTGTTTGTTGTTTGTTTGTCAGCAGGATTACGCAAAAAGTACTGAATCGATTTGCGCCAAATTTGGTGGAGAGAAGGGGCATGGGGCGGGGAGAAGAACCCATTACATTTTGGGGCAGTCACTATGAATTTGAGTTATTTCCTCTGAGGTCTGGTATGTGTTTCTTTGATATTGGCCTTGGTGGAGGTCTGCACTCGCTAAGTTCCCTTCCAGTTTTCTTCGTCTCTCTATATCTATTGTATTTTTTTGTTTTGTATATTAAAACAAAATGGACCATAGCTCAATAGCATCCCCTACTTTTCATCCACTGTAGTATATACTCACACCAATGATCTACTTTGCCCAGTACATACACTTTAAATGTTTGTCCTCAACTTGTTCGGGAGAGTACAAGAACACACGTCAACACATGCCGCCATGTGCTGTGCGTACAGTACATGCAAGAGAAAGACACATAAATAGATACTAAACAAAAATATAAGTACAAAGCAAAGCTCACCTAAGTGTACCAGAAAGCAGTTATTAAATGAAACTAATACTTCTAGCTGACCCTCTCTCCCAACACCCCGCCCTCCCATCCCACGCTCCCTCTTACACCCACTCCAGATGGTCAAGTTTGATCAACACTAAAGTACAGTCTTATAGTCCTTCCACCTCACAGGAATCATTAGGACCCACAGATTCTTACCGATTGACTGGATATATGACTTCAGACTTGCATCAGCATGACTTGATGTGAGCAAACAGATGTAATCTTCGTCACGGCACCTGAGATAACTTAAAGTCTACACCCATAGGTCACCTATTGATTTTGTACATATGAACACTGAAGCTCCAGTAGCAGCTGGAGATTATTTACTCTACCTGGGTTGAACTGCAGGCATTGAAAGTCTAACTGAGATAGAAACTTGTGGTGAGAGTCAGTCAATAGCTTTGAGGATTTCTGCAGTAGTTGAGCAGAGCTCCTGAGCCGTATGACCTGTGCACCCCTCCGTCGCTCGGCTGCCACAAAAACAGAGGAGGCCTCTTAGCAGTGGTCTGTGGCAGCAAGCTGTCCTTGAACTGGCCTACAATGAAGCAGAGATGGCTACACTTAGCTGTTCACCGCTTAGCAAAAGCATTTTTGAATTTCTCGAGCTCGACAGATTTTTACCAAGCTGTCAAAATAAAACAGATAAAGTGAAAGAGACGTGAAGATGGAAACGGCCGTCTTTCTAGTCTAGATACATTTTGTATGTTAGAGAGCGAGGGAGACAAGCTCCTCTTCAGAGCTGAAAGTAATAGAACGAGAGTGAGATGGAGACAGACAAGGCAGATATCCACGTCAAACCGCTCAGGTCACTATCCAAGGCATTTTAACAAGGCCAGCTGTCTGTTACAGTAGTAGCTGAACTAGCCTTAATAGCCAGCCTTTGTCAGATCCACCCAGCCTGTGTCAGGCGATACCAGCCTACAGAGATCACTCAGTGATAAGGCTGGGAACACTGACAAGACAAGTCCAGGG